GTTTAAAAAAAAAAAAAACATTCTAGATGATGACATAACTGAAGCAAAAACACATGTGGGACAAGGTATGAGTGACATGACCAGGAACTGCTGCTGACCACAGAGTCAGGAGACTGGCTTAGGTTCTTCCCTATACCCCTTGCCCTTTTACTCATTTTCTGACCCCTCTCACAGTTGACAGGATCAAGTGGGCATGAAGACATCTTAGATATATACAGCCAGACATGGTGGTGCATGCCTTTAACCCCAGCACTTGGGAGGCAGAGACAGGCAGATCTCAGTTCGAGACCAGCCTGGTCTCCATAGCAAATCCAGGCCAGTTGTGGCTACACGGAGACCCTGTCTCAAAAAGACAAATAATAATAATAATAATAATAATAATTATATACATATGTGTGTATGTGTGTGCATGTGTATCATATTATACATATATATCTATTTTTTTTTGCAATGTTGAAGACAGATCCCAAGGCTTTATTGCATGCTAAGCAAAGACTCTGCTGGTGAGCTACATTTTCAGCCCAAAGCCCCTGAACTTTGACAGGGATTGGCTCAAGGTCCCCATTTACCAAATTATTATGAGTTAGTTAATTCTTATCCTGGAACCAAAATATCTATGACAGTTTGAAATACTATCACTGTCTGTGCAACAAGTGCTTGCTCTGTCCTACTGGGCTCAAGGGTGATCAGCATATTATGAGACACTTTCACTTAGCCCCCCTACCCCCCGGGGTCAAAGTTGGCCTCCTCCAAAATCTTTCCTTTGAATCTCCTGGCTCTTCTGGGCAGCCCTTACCCATTGTGCACCCCAGGCCAGCCCACATTCACAGAGGTGCACAGAGATCTATCTCCCCACTGGGCAATGAGTTCACTTGAGGCAGATTCTGACCTCTTGTCCTGCTGCCTGCTGGAACAGAGCCCGGGCACAGGCGAGGGCCTCACAGCCGGAATGTCTGCTGGATCCACAGGGAGAGTCCAGCTCCAATGGATTGTTAAGTCTCTAGAGAGAGTTCTTAATCTATCCAGTTGGAGCTAAGACAAGTAATTAGAGTCCAGGGAAGGAGAGATAAAGAACGGCAGTGGCTAGTGTGTCTTACAAGCCAAAAGCTCTACATGCATTATCTTATTTAATCCTCAACAAGTGATTCCCATACATACAGATGACTTGAAGTTAGGGCACTGCACTGGATCAGAGATAAGTGGCAGGGCAGAATTTGAATCCAATTCCCTGTGTTTGGAGAGCACATGCCCTTCACTCCTGTGCTTTCCTGTTTGCCCCACGCAAGCGATCCTCTTGTCAAGCCTCATCAATGTCACTGTGATACACTAACAGTCTGTGGAGAGGAAACAGCCATCTATCTGTAAAATAAACAAGCCTGGGCACGCAGACAGAGGTGCTAATGGAGACAGGATCGACCAATTTGCCAAGATCACTAACAAGCTTGAGTGGGACTCAAAAGGCATTGGTCCTTTGGGAGATGCGGGGAGGGGGGGCGCGGTTTACAGGGACTCCTGCACATAGCCCAGGACCTGGGCCCCAAGGGCTCACGTGCCCCTCAACAGAAAGCACACAGCAGGCATTTTCAATGTTTTGACAGCCAGGGTGATAAACAGAGGTATCGATTTCATAGAAACACCCCGGTCCTTAGGCCTTCTCTCCAAACACATGTCCTCACATAGCTCAGCCATCAAAGTCAAGAGTGACAGCTCTACAGCAGATGAGTGCTGGCTAGCTGCCAGCAAACTCCCAGGCAGGTCACAGATAGCTCCAGAGGCACCCACACAGGGAGCTTTATGAACTGGGGGCTACTGGGGCTGGGGACATGGGGAAGGCTGTGATCACCTGAGAAGTGTCCATCTGGGAAATGGAGAGGAAGAAGGGGGTCAGGCTAGGGCAGAGAGACAAATGGAAGTCCCCAGCCCACATTCCTGTAACCTCATTGACATGTCCTGGTCTCAAAAATCTAGACCTGGGTTTCCAGATAGAGGCCACCAGCCAGGTGGAGCTACTGAGCTTTTCTAAACTGAGATGGGTTGTACCTTTAAGATACTCACAGACAGGGTTGAGAGATGGCTTAGGGTTAAGAGCACTGGCTGCTCTTGCAGAGGACCCAGGTCTGATTTCCAGCACCCACATGGTGGCTAACAATTGTCCATCACTCTAGTTCCAGGGGATCTGACACTTTCTTCTGACCTCTGAGGACATTGCATGACACAAGTACACTTACATACATGCAGGCAATACACTCATACACATAAGATAAAAAATAACAAATAATTTTTTTTTGTCTTTTTGAGATAGGGTCTCCTTGTAGCTCCAGCTGTCCCGGAATTCACTCTGTAGACCAGGCTGGCCTCGAACTCACAAAGATCCACCTACCTCTGTCTTCCAAGTGCTGGGATTAAAGGCATGTGCCACCACGCCTGGCATAAAATGTTTTTTAAAAGATACAGACTTTAGGGCTGGAGAGATGGCTCAGTGGTTAAGAGCACTGACTGCTCTTGCAGAGGACCTGAGTTCGATTCCCAGCACCCACACAGCAGCTACGAACTGTCCTTAACGCCAGTTCCAGGGGAATCCAAAGCCCTCTTCCGACCTCCGCGGCACTGCATGACAGGGGTGCACTCACACACATGCAGGCAATACACTCATACACAT